GGTACCCAGAATGCTGCAAATCATCAACTGGCCCAAACTCAGGGAAGCCTTAATCTCCGAATACAAGACGCAAACATCCGTGGAAGACCTACTGCGAAGATTATGGATTATCATTGTAATTTACGAAAATTTTCTAGTAAGGGAGAGGCTAAGATAATGATAAATAAGAATTAAAAGGGAATTTAGATGATTCTAAATTGTACATAAACGCTATGAATAACACTGCTGAAAACGTAATACATATAAACTACCAGATAGACTTCTTACGGCACTCCCAAGATACGACATATCTACTATTTTGATATTAAAACAAGTAGCACAAATGGAGGGCTACTAAGAGGAAAATTTTCTCAGCTAAAATTTCAAGTTTCTAGCTCTTATAGGTTCGGAGATCCTTTCGTTCATACATACGGACAGACGGACAGACAGACAGACGGACATGGCTAGATGGCCTCGACTATTGATGCTGATCAAGAATATATATACTTTATGGGGTCGGAGATGCTTCCTTCTGCCTGTTATATAAATTTGCACAAATACTTTATACGCTTTTTACCCATTTTTAATGGGTTCAGGGTATAAAAACAAAACTATTAAAATTACAAAAAAATTTCAGTTACATTCAAATCGAGCATTGTTAAGCACGAAATTAATACACATAATGAAAATCCAATTTACAAAAAAACCATTCGGTTAGCCTTTCGCTTTCGAACAAGAAATCGAAAAGCAAAGTAAAGATAAAGATAGTACCAAAAAAGGCAGACGCCTCAGAAAAAGCAAAATTTAGATTAGTGGTCGATTACAGAGGACGAGATATTGGGACGAGATTTTGCGAAAATTAGGAAGATGCTTATATTTTACGACAATATATTTAGCAAAAGGTTTCCATCAGATTGAGATGGATCAGAAAACAATCAATAAAACAGCATTTTCTACCAAATATGGACATTACGAGTAGACTGGACTTAAAAATGCACCAGCAAGATTCCAAAGGTGCATGAAACACGATCTTCATGATTTATTAAATTGTCTTATTTATTTGGACGACATTATTGTCTTCTCCACATCACTTGATGAACATTTAAATTCAATAAATAAAGTTTTTAAAAAATGAAGACAGCAAATTTGAAACTCCAATTAGATAAGTGCGAATTTTTAAAAAAGGAAATATATTTTTAGGGCACATTATAAGTCCAGAAGGCATTTGGCCAAACGAACTGAAAGTAAAAGCAATACTAGAATTTCAATATTAATATGTCCAGACTTTAATAAAAAGTTTCAGGCAACAACCGACGCAAGTAATTTTGAAATAGGAGTAATTTCACAAGATAACAAGCCAATTAGTTTCTCAAGTAGAACGTTAAACGATCACGAACAAAATTATAGTACAATAGAAAAAGAGCTTTTAGCAATAGTGTGGGCAGTAAAATATTTTCGACCATATTTATATGGCAGACCATTTGACATTTTAAGCGATCACAAGCCACTCGTTTGGCTAAACAACATTAAAGAACCCAACATGAAATTACAACGTTGGCGTATCAAACTTAGTAAATATAATTTCACAATTAAGACTTAAATGGAAAATTAAACCACGTAGAAGATACCTTATCACGCATCAAAACTGAAGAAAATATGCTAGGCGAACAAGATATTAAGTTAATGAAAACATAATACATTTAACAGAAAAACCATTAAATAAGTTTAGAAGACAAATAGAAATGATTAAACCTAAAAATTGAAAAAGCATTTTTACACCAATTTAACTCGAATATTACGAACAAATATTAGACTGAAAGACATTAGGAGCTATGCAGAATTTAAACAAATATTAGTTAGGAACCACAAAAAACGTTCACATCCAGGTAACTAAAAGATGGTCAGACTTTTTAAAGAAACGAACTATTACCCAGACTATCAAAATATAATCCAAAACATAATTAACAAATGTGAAGTTTGTGATCTAGCAAAGATTGACCATAGGAACAATATAAAACAAGTAAGAGGTTCTAGTCGGGAGCTCCCGACTAGAGGATACCCTGAACCCTCTTATTCCAACACCAAATGCAGATCACGCTACGCGCTCGTTTGCTTTAGTACTAATAAAGATAAATAAAAAAAAAAAAGTTCCCTTGGCAGGGATCGAATTTGCAACCGACCGCACTACTTGCCGCTGCCTCTACTCAACAGCCACACCAATAATTGAGTCTTAATGAGAAAAATTAAAATAGCAGCACAGAAAAAAATACAATCGCAATTGCAATGCTCTTAATAGAGTTCGAAGCAGACGCGCTTGAATGTGTGTATGCATGTATACAGAAGTTCTTGGAACAAGTTATCGAATAACGGAAACCAAACTCGATCTGCAGAGATCCTTTTGAGATCCTTGCGTTCATACATACGGACGGACGGATCGACGGCTATTGATGCTGATCACGAATATACATATATACTTTATTCGGTCGGAGATGCTTCCTTCCGCCTGTTATTTGCACAAATACATTATACCCTTTTTACTCATTTTCAATGGGTTCAGTGTATAAAAAATATGTATTATATATACTGACGATGACGAAGAAAATAGACTCATGGAAATTGATGTAATTTTATACACTTATAATCATAAGCTAAAACATAACTCTACTGGCAGAATTCCAGCTGACATTTTCATTTACGCAGGAACACCTAATTATAACACCCCGACTATAAAAGAGACAAGAATAAATAATCTTAATAAAAACTGAAATGATTTCAAAATAAATAATAAATTTAAGAAAGCACCAATAACTAACGGTAAATTACATAATCCTTGCAAACCCACCATTTTGAAGAGACTAACAGAGGTCGAAAAATTAAGCATTATAAAACGAATTATCAAAAACAGAAGACATTAAGTAAATAATTGTTACTAGAGGACCAAAGTCCAAAACAGGAACTATAACTCTAATGATAATGATGTCAATACTGTTACCAGGTAGTAAAAACCAATTTATAGGTATCAACCCTATTAAATGAAATAATGAACACTTACTTTTTTAAAAAAAAGCCATGATTGACAAACCAGATAATTATGAACACCATTGTCTAAAAATAAATTTAACAAAGACAGAATGCACATATGATAAACTAATGTTACAGACAAAAAACATATAAACATATATAGAATACATATTCAATATTTAACAGAAAAGTTGTAAAGAGAAATAAATGGTATCAGAATAGTAAAAGGAAGCAAAAACGGATTCCTTAATTTCGTAGGAACAACATTCAAATACTTATTTGGAACTTTAGATAACAATGATAAAGAAGAACTTGAGGACAAAATGAATTCAATAGCTCACAATATTTTTCAAATAATCGAACTCAACCATGTAATTGAAACGGTCAACCAAGAAATAGAAATAGTAAAAAAAAAAGTAAAAAAAAAAAGTAAAGTACTGGAACTACTAGCATTCAACTTACAACAATAAACAGAATATATCGAAGATTTAGGATATGGATATATATATTTTTGATCAGCATCAACGGCCGAGTCGTTCTAGCCATGTCCTCCGAGTCTGTCTGTTCGTCCGGCTATTGATGCTGATCAAGAATATATGTACTTTATGGGGCGGGAGATGCTTACTTTATACCCATTTTCAATGGGTTATCAAATTATAAGTAATTAACTATTGATATATAGTGTATTAACTATGGGTTGCTAATTTAATTGGTTTGTTCCTGAAGACATGGTAACATAAGGAAGAAGAAGAAGCTTTTCGGTGGGATCTTCGCTGATTATGTGCACGAAGATCATAAGTTGGTAGGGTATAGAGCGTGAGTGTCGAACACCATCTGAGACCTCGCTTTTAATAATCAGCAGTTGTGTTTGTTTACATGTCGACAACTATTACCAGTCCTCGGTAGGTTTTTTGTTTTCGTGGAATATAGGTCCCAGTAGTAGCAGGAGGTCTTATTTTAAACGTGTGCGTGTCTGTAGATCTAGGCTGACAACAACCCCCTCCACCTCTCCGAATGATCTCGGAACCAGAAGACCTCGCCCGCCGTGTCTCCATATCCACGTGTTGCAGTGAGCCGCCACTAATAGGCTTCCTAACCTTGCTTGCACTAGCAGTGCCTCGCACATGTTAATCAATATGTCTTAGCCAAGCCTTACATTTATTACGTTTACTATGTATGAAAAACTTTCTTGTGTATAAAAATACAACAAGAATTTCATGAGGGTATTTAATAGTTTACATTGGGTAGTGATATAACTGCATATGGTTGTGACTGGCAAAATATATTAGTGAAGCGGCATTCTACAGGGCGCCGACTAATTACATATTGCCTTCGTGTGTCGCCCTGCACCGCAGATCGCATTTACATTATTATATTACATCAATAAAACACAGATTGAACCATAATTAGCGACACATTTGTCGACAGAGATCAAGACAAAGATCGACGCGGTTGATTCTTTTATGGCTGGCGCTAGGATTTATATGCACTTCCTTTTACATTTAAAAGGTTAACCACTACCTGTATGACCTACTTACATTCATAAAACGCTCCGGCGCACCGATGTCGCCCATCGTCGCTCATCGTCATGCTCGTCCGCCTGAAGTGGCTGAATTGCGATTTGATTCTCGCATGCGCAGACGTCGGCGACCGGCGGTTATGCTACCTGTTCAACTAGACTGGAAAAGCAAAATTTTAAGTATTTATGTTGCCTTTTAATTGCCACTGCTTGCGCTAAGTGTTACTAAGAAAAACAAAGACAGCATCATTCGATCGGCAAATAGCATCTCACTCGATTGTCGTCCTGACTTGGGCGCCTTTGCCTCGCGCGTCTAAATATTGTGAACAATTGTCGAATACCCGTGCTCTCTTCGTAGGTGTGTGTGGTTATGTTGATTTATATGATCCACTGTAACTCATGCAGCAGTATTTAAACCAGCAGCGGGCAAGCGACTACGTCATTTGCCAGTGTACTGCGTAAGAAACAAGTCGTGTCCTCAATATGTATGTAAGCATACATGTAATGCTGCTTCTCGTGTTAACAACACAGCACAAATGTTTGGGATTTTACATCAGGAATAATGATGAATCCCCAGCAAAAGTTGGTGCTACGTTTGATAGTCGCAACAATGAATGGGGAATTCTTCAAAATAGGCTTGGACTATCCCATGAAAAAGGTAAAATTAAATACTGTGCGTCGAAACTTCTTTCGTGTCATCGTTAATTTGACAAATCTTTTACCATTTTTTTTTTTGCTTTTAGTCGAGATTCTCAAATCGCAAAAGGATCAGCAAGGCACAAAGAAGTTGCTGCATCGATTTATTATGGAAAACCCGAAGTACATAAGTACTTCAACAACTAATAAAAAAAAACGTTCGAGTAACCAGTTTAAGCGACTTTTCCGAGCTTTGGTTAACAACTTTGAAAGCTCAAAGAGTACGCTACAAACAACTTTTAAATTTGAGTTGACAGATAGGCCTTTAAAGTCATTAAAGCGTGGTCGGCGGAAGATTGCTGTAAATATGGTGTCTGACATGTCGTCTGAAGGAGTGGACCAATTACTTAAAAGTTTTTACCTGAAACACAATATCGACCAATCAAATTATGATAATGACAAAGCTGATCGACCCTCTGATAATGGGGATTACAGTGATATGGACATACTACGAAGTCAATTAATGGACACAGACTCCGATTATGCGTATGATAACCTTTACGAAGACGAAGGCGATGTAGGCCTTACTGCTAAATCCCATCAAAATTCTGAATATGGTTCTTTCCAAGATTTAATCCTACAGGCAAAAAGAAACCAATGGGAAACGGAAAATGAGGAAACCAAGTTGCATAGTCCCATCAATGACCACTTTATATAAAATAAATAATAAAATGGTCTTAGGGGCTGTGCAAAAGATGTTCATATGCTGGCATTGAACCGGAACTTAATTATTAATATTGTCAACTTTTAACAGCTTTAACTGTGCATGGATTTATTTATAATAACTTCAAAGTGCCCTCGTTGTTAACAATTTATTTAACTATTATGATACTTACACAAACATTAAATATTATTCTAATTTATTATAACTTAAATTTAAAATTAATAAAAATGAACCACTTCCAAAAAACATTGTTGCATTAGCGATCCATTTCGAACAGTGAATAATGTGGCTCCAACATATTGAAACAAGTGCCTTGAACAGTATGATGATATACATATATGGAAATATACATACGTATAACACCTAATTTTTTATCGGAAACATCTGAAGACTTTGACCACAGGTAAAGTAACAACTAAAGGTTAAAAGTACTGGTACTACTAAATTAAAAAATGTATTTTCCTTTTGCGGAGGCTTCAACCATTTGTAAAAAATTTATATTTGAGACGTATTTTTGTACCCTGTAATGGTATGGTAATGGGTAAAAAGGGTATAATGTATTTGTGCAAATGTATGTAACAGGCAGAAGAAAGCATCTCCGACCCCATAAAGTATATACAGTACGACCTCGCACAACGCAACCTATTAAAATATGGCCAATTGCGAAAACTGAGGTGGTTGCAAAAACCGAGGCAATATTTTCTGTTGACCACGAGACCTATTTAAAAATAGAGATGCCTTTGCTAACCATTAAAATTAAAGTAAATCGAATAGTTCTGTGCTCAAAGCAAGGATTTCATTTTACTTTATTTATTTTTTGCAAAATTGAGAAATTATGGTCTGTACTTTTTTACAATTTATACTTTTCTGAACAGCTGTTTACAATGTTAAGAAATCGGCTGTTGCAATTATCGAGGAGTTGCGTTTAACGAGGGTTGCGTTGAGCGAGGTCGTACTGTATCTTCTTGATCAGCATCAACAGCCAAGTCGATCTAGCCATGTCCGTCCGTATGTATGAACGCAAGGATCTCAGAACCTATAAGAGCTGAGTCTGAAATTTTAGCTGTAGGTCCTCCTAGTGCCCGCGCAGATCGAGTATAAATCCTGTTTTTTGAGCAAATTGGGTAAATAATAAGAGCTAGAGTCACCAAACTTGATATGTTGCTTCTAGAATAGTATAAATATATCAATATCTTTCATTTTATACCTATCGCCACCTCGCAGCTACCACCGAAAAGCTATAAATCAAGTTAATAACCCAACTTGTATATCCCACCAATTTAAAATTTTAATGCAGTTTACTTTTCAGAATACATTTTCCATAGCACATTAAGATGTACTGTAGAAAATTTCATTAAGATCGGTTAAGTAACAAACAAAAGTTATGTGTATTGGCCTCACACGTGTTAGCTAGCGCAAATTGCAAGAATTTCTGTATACATGTACACACACACACATTCATGCGCGTCTTCTTTGAATTTTATCAACAGCATGTAAATGCGATTGTATTGTTTTCTGTGATGCTATTTTAATTGGTACTTTTCTCGTTAAGACTTAATTATTGGTGTGGATGTTTGAGTAGAGGCGGCGGCAAATAGTGCGGTCTGTTGCGAGTTCGAACCGTACCGAGGAATATATTTTATATACCCTATACCCTTGAAAATGGGTAACAAGGGTATTATGCATTTGTGCAAATGTATGTAACTGGCAGAAGGATGCTTCTCCGACCCAGTAAAATATATATATTGAAATCCTGTTTTTTGCGCAACTTTGGTAAATAATAAGATCTAGAGTCGCCAAACTTGACATGTAGCTTCTAGAATAGTCTATATACAGATATCTTTCATTTTATAGCTATCGACACCTCTCCTTTACCACCACAAAGCTATAAATCAAGTTATTAAACCAATTTATATTGCCCAGTAACTTAGGCCACAATTAATGCAAATTTTAATACAATTGAGAATACACAAAAATTCTATATTCTATTCTAGAATAAGATGTACTGTCGAATAATTCATTAAGATCGGTTAAGAAACACAAAAGTTATGTGCGCATGTGTTAGCATCAGCTAGCCTAAATTCGAAGAATTTCTGTATACATGTATACACACCCACATTCATGCGCGTCTGCTTTGAATTCTATCAACGGCATTGCAATTGCGATTGTATTGTTTTCTGTGCTGCTGTTTTAAATGTTTTTTTTTTCTCATTAAAACTCGATCATTGGTGTGGATCTTGAGTAGAGGCGTCGGCAATTGGTGCGGTTAGTTGCGAGTTCGAACCCTGCCAAGGAAACAATTTTTTATTTTTTTTTTATTTTTCTTTATTACTACTAAGGGAAACGAGCGCGTGGCGCGAGCTGCATTTGGTGTTGAAATAAGAGGGTTCAGGGCATCCGCTAGTCGAGAGCTCCCGACTAGAACCTCTTACTTGATTGAATTCGCAGAAAAATCGAAAAAAATTGTGAATAGTTCACCTTCCTCCTGTATTTACATACGTAATTTAATTAATTGGGTGTCGTTTAAAATATATATATCATAAGAATTGATGACCCACTTAGAATAAAAGCTAATCAAAACTACATCAACAAATCAATAAAAAGTGCTCTTGTCGGGAGTGCCCGACTGGGAGATACCCTGAGCCTTTTTCTACCAACACCAAATGCAGATAATTATAATTGATGGGTAGTTCCGATTGATTTTCTTATTAAATTTATAGCTATGGAGCGAATGAAAGATTGCCGGTGTCCATAAAATGAAAGGTACTTGACCATGTTGACTTTGTGAAGATAGAAAACAACCTTTATAACCTCATAACACATCATGATGATAAACTTTTCATAAATATTGTTACGGCAGAAATGCATAAAAAAAACACCCCACGAAAACAATGTACTGTGTTTTGATTGCCAATTGAAGATTGGTATCGATAGATGAGCAAATATATCGATGAACTCAAGGGGTGCACAAATATCAGAGTCACAAGTTCCTAAGCGTGTCTCGGCTCACCTTTAATAGGGAGAGCAGAGAGCCTCCAAAAAAGAGAATAATCCAGAGCGCAGTGCAAAAATCCGTCTGTGCAAAAATCACGAATATACTTTATGGGGTCAGAGATGCGGCCTTCTCCCTGTTATATACATTTGCACAAATACATTATACATTATAAAGTGTTTTTATTTACTGCTCTGGCTTAAGCTGGCAAAGAAATACATTTTCTTAGTTTTCTATCGCTGGATCATGCATGACCTATCCCAAATTTGTGGACACATGAATGCGTGTTGTGTACTGAGGTTGGCTCTGTAGAAAATCTGTTTTTTAAAGTCGATGCAAATATTGATAAAATTTCTTTAAATTAAATTATTAATTAAATTATTATTATTTTTAAGAAATAAAAATAATGAGAGATGAGTGCAAATTTTTTGTTTCTAAAAATTCTTTTTATCAATTTTTGTTTGTATCAATTATTTTATTCTCCGCCGGTCGAACTAGCTACCGACGCATTTAATTTACACTATTTGTATTTTTGGCACTCTTTTATTTAATATCGGGAACAAACTTGATCTGCGCGGGCACTAGGAGGACCTACAGCTAAAATTTCAAGTCTCTAGCTCTTATAGCTCTGAGATCCTTGCGTTCATACATACGGACGGACGGACAGACAGACGGACATGGCTAGATCGACTCGGCTATTGATGCTGATCAGAATTGTTGATCCTGTTAAATACATTTGCGCAAATACATTATACCCTTTTTATCCATTTGTAATGGGTTAAGGGTATAAAAACAAACATATGAAATATATATGTACATAAATATGTGCATACACTCACTATAAGCTGTAAGCAGCCGCTGCTTCTTCCCCCGTACACTCTGGAAATTCGTTTCTTTAATAACTTTATGCTTAATTTATAGCCCACTTAATGTCGCAAACGGACTAACTTCTTTTTAGGACTGATTGTTGGTTGAATGTCAATAATCATATGTATGTACATGACTGACATACTGACATGTACATGCATAAGTACATACATGCATATACAGTGGCTCACAGCTTATTTCAACATTTCAACTACATTAAAAAAACTTTGGGAGACTATAAAAACCAAAGTGTGAAAGATATTCAAATTATTTAAATGCCGGTTTTTCAATTATTCTTTCAAGTTTTAAAATATGATTTCATATATTTTTTAAACATTATAACAATTAACAAGCAAGAGGTTCTAGTCGGGAGCTCCCGACCCTGAACCATCTTATTCCAACACCAAATGTAATTGGCGCTACGCGCTCGCTTGCTTTAGCACTAATAAAGATAAATTGAAATAAAAAAAAAAGTTCCCTAGGCAGTGTTCGAACTCTCAACTAACCGCACTACTTGCCGCTGCCTCTACTCAACAGCCACACCAGCCAAAAAGTTTCAATTTCCCCGATAGGTTTCGAACTCGCAACAGACTGGACTCTTGCCGCCGCTTTTACCCAACAGCCACACCAATTATTGAGTCTAGATGAGAAAAAAACAAATTAAAATAGCAGCACAGAAAACAATACAATTGCAATTGCAATGCTGTTGATAGAATTCAATAAAGACGCTCATGAATGTGTGCGTGTTCATATATACACAAATTTTTGCAACACGTGGGCAGCCGAAACACATAACTTTTGTGTTTCTTAGCCGATCTTAATGAAATTTTCAGCAGATCTTATTGTACTATAAAATATTCGTGTATTCTCAAAATGACAATTGCATTTAAATTGTGGCTTATATTGGTGGGCAGCATAAAATGATGTTTTCACTTGATTTATAGCTTTTAGGTTGTAGCGGGGAGGTGGTGATAGCTATCAAATGAAAGATAATTGATATATATATATATATATATATATATAGTGACATATTCACAACAACAGAATTTTGAACCACTGTTATTCATAAGCTGCATTGCATGGTATAACCCACTGTGTGTTTACAAATTAAATAATTATAACAATAGCATGCCTT